GTAAATGGTGCACCGACGTCCCTATATATGCTTCGATTTGCACGAAATTTGAAATAACGTACTTAATTGAGCCTAGAATGATGTCTGCCAAGTTTCATGAAAATCGTTCCTGATTTAGATATAGCTCCCATATATAGTTTCGTCCGATTTCAGGTAAATGGTGCCTCAATGTCCATATATATCTTTCGATTTGCACGAAATTTGGCATAACATACTGAATTGAGCCTAGAGTGATGTCTGCCAAGTTTCGTGAAAATCGGTCTAGGTTTAGATATAGCTCCCTTTTATTACAGATTGATTTTAAGTAATTGACGCACCAAGAAACAAATAGGAACAAAACGTTCTGAAATTAGTATAACCTAACCTGTGACGAGTTTGTTTGAAATCGCTTAATATTTGGATAGTGCTTCCGTATATATTTTCGCCAGATTTCAATTAAATTGGGCATCAAAATCCTCATGTTAGTCAGATTGACATCAAATTATGCACAACGTACAAAATTGAGCATAGAATTACGTAGTTGCGTTTTCTAGAAGTACAGACATAGCCCAACGGATGGCCTATTTATATTTGTTTGAAGTCGATTTACATACTTTATGGATAGATCTTGTTAAATTTACATTTAGATAAATATCACATATTTTATATCATCCAATTTCATGTTAATGGCCCTTTTTAATATACCCATAGTGGTGAAGGGTATCATATAGTCGGCCCCGCCCGACTTTACTACTTTTCTTACTGGTTTAAATTACAGTAAATTGTATTTTAAATTACAATAGTTTGAGGATTTTATACACTGCCATGCGTTATCGGTATCAGTTCACGCTTTGGAAAATTGCTGAAATTTGTATTTGGTATACATAATGGCTTACATAAATTGGTTTGTAGTATTGGGTATATTTCCATTTTTTTGGTATGTTCCCTATATTTTCATTGCAAGTATCTATCAGTATACCTATTACGGAGGGTATCCAAAATTCAGACTGGCCGAATTTACGCTTTTTCACTTGTTTTATTTTTATTTATTTTTTTTAGCCGAACATCACAATACAGCCCACGGTGAAGTAAATTAGAAGGGCAGTACTGAATATTAGTAATACTTGTTGACCTCTTGTCGGTTAAAGAGGGTGCAAATATCGCGAAATATTGCCCAAGCTCACAAAATAGAACCATAGAATGTTATATTTGCGTGGGAAGTGGTGAAGGGTATGGTATGGTCGGCCCGGTCCGACTATACTGCTCTGCTCACTGGTTTTTAAATAATGTTATGGAATACTCTGCTTTAGAAGAGGATATTAGTTTGAATGTTCAATATTTTTTTTAGGGAACAACAGATGTTTTTTACTTGCGTATGTGTCTGTTTATGTCTCTTTTTACCAATCAAAAGTTTCTGTTTTACCTTTTCAATATTTCAAACTTCAATTTCATATATTCTGCAGCCATATATACATAATTTTATTTATTTTCTTGCGTTGTTCTTCTGAGTATGAATGCAAAATCCATGAATGTGTGTGTATATGTTGATGTGTGTCTCTACTCTCCCTTCGCTGATAATTAGGAAATTTTTAATTTGAAAGTTGGCTAATTAAAGTAATTATAAAGTTTCTTTCGCTGATACTAAGTTGAATAGAAGTTCGCTACAACAGTTGATATGGAACTTACGAAATTGTATGTGACAGTTCTTAGTTTAGATATTTTTTTATATAAAAAATACTCTTTAGCTAATACTACTTTAAAAGTCAATGGCAGTCTGAAAAGAAAAAATGGGGACCAAAGAGGAATCACCTTCTTTTTTATATTTTAGGTTGAACCCAGTTTTGTTGACCTTTGAAATCTCTTAAGAAATTTAGAAAGTTCGATTAATTGGAAATATAAAAATAATATATTTTTTTAATTACACTAACCTATCTATCGGGTATCCTTTCAATGCAATCACATTTTAAATAATTACATTTAAAATATTTGCACATTTAGGCTTCCAATGCACGGCGACTTAAATATTTCCCCCAATTTTTTCCAACAAACTATAAAATCAAAATTCGAATTGCACATACTAGAAAAAATCCTTTTCGAAGTCCATCGTAACGCCAAATTAAAATTACAAACATTTAGTGCTACTAACATGTTTTAAATGACTTTAGCCAGAAAAGATTTATGGCATAGCCTACAGGCGAATATCTGTTACATGACCACCCACAAAATCACAGTTTTAATTTTGTTTTCCCATTGCCATCATCATGCAATGTTTTTGGATTAATGGACAATTTCGGTCAACCGCACCACTTGAAATTGCACACAAAAGAGGGGATAAAATAACAACGTTTTTTTCATAGCGAATGGAACGTGGTGAAAATGTTGGTAGTTTTGATTAGATACAAAAATGGAGTCTAAATATGTTTTTCTAAATACAAGGCGTGGAAAAAATATTCTTCGTGGCCTTTGAAAAAATATTCTTAAAAAAATCCACGCCTTGTTGTTGCCTTTGAAAAAATATTCTTTAAAAAATCCACGCCTTGTTGTTGCCTTTGAAAAAATATTCTTTAAAAAATCCACGCCTTGTTGTTGCCTTTGAAAAAATATTCTTTAAAAAATCCACGCCTTGTTGTTGCCTTTGAAAAAATATTCTTTAAAAAATCCACGCCTTGTTGTTGCCTTTAAAACACAATCTTTAAAAAGTCCACGCCTTGTACTTACTTCCTTAGCTGGCTTGTTACAGATCCACGCCTTGTGCTAGTCCCTGAAAAAAATATTTCTTTAAAAAATCGCGTCGGTCTTATACGCAAATCACCAATTTGGAAGACCACGTTCCAAGATGTTGTTTTCTACTTGGTCTTTCCATTTAATTCGTGGCCTTCCCTTTCTACGGGAACCATCAGTAAGCTCGCTTTTATATACTCTGAGCTTTGAGCTGGGGCATTCTAATTCATTCGCACAACATGGCCTAGCCACCGTAGTCGCTGCAGCTCAATACGACTGACTATGTCGATGTCCGCGTATAAATTGTAGAGCTCGTAGTTCATTCGACGCCGTTATTCACCGTCGACGCAGATCGGCCCGTAGATCTTTCAGAGAATTTTTCTTTCAAACACCTCAAGAGCTGCCTCATCTGCTTGCGCAAGTACACATGCTTCACATCCATATAATAGCACGGGTAGTATCAGCGTCTTGTAAAGTGTGAGTTTGGTCTGGCGCGAGGTGGCTATGTTTCTAAACTGCTTACTTAGACCATAGTAGCATCTGTTGGCCATCACAATCCTTTTCCGAATTTCAAAACTGATGTCATTCGTTTTGTTTATGGCGGTACCAAGTGTATAAAATCGTTAACTACCTCGAAGCTGTAGTTATCAAGTTCCGCAGTTGGTCCGAGTCTACTGGACGTCTTGCGCGTTGATACCAATAGCTTGGTATTCTTGCCGTTTACTGCCAGACCCACTTTGGCAGACTCCTTTTCAATTTGTTCAAAGGTGGCGGTTACCGCTCACAATGTTCGACCCATTATATCGATGTCATCGGCGAAGGCGAGTAACATGTGTTGTTTGGTGTACAGAGTGCCATTTCTGGTCACTTTTGCGTCTCGTATGACCTTTTCCCGCAGGGTGTCAAAAAGTTCACACGACAAACTGTCAGCTTTTCTGAATCTTCGTTCGGTATTGAAGGGCTCCGATAGGCCCTTTCCTATTTTAACTGCTTACCTTGTGCCACTTAAAATTATCCTCCATAGCCGTATTCATTTTGCAGGGATGCCGAACGTAGAACCTAGGCTTTAAACACCTCTGAAGGCAGAGGGCTGTCGATACGGTTTTATAGTCGACGAATAGATGATATGTGTCGATGTGTTTTTCGTGTGTCTTTTCCAGGATTTGGCGCGGAGTGAAAATATAGTCAATGGTGGATCTCCCAGGTCTAAAGCCGCATTGTTATGGTCCAATAATGTCATTGACCATTGGCTTCAGTCGTACACACAGTACGCTGGATGGCACTTTATATGCGATGGGAAGGAGACTTATTTCACTATAGTTGGCAAATATCGTATTGTCTCTTTTTTGTGCACGGGACACAGGATGCTGAGGTTCCAATCATTGGGCATGCATACCTCTAGCCAAATTGTACTAATAAGCTGGTGCATGCTCCTGACCAGCACCTAGCCACCAGTCTTGGACAGTTCGGCTGGTAACCCATCTGCTCCTGCTGCTTTATTGTTCTTGATCCGATTAATTGAATTTTATTACCTCATCTGGGCTAGGTGGTATACACTTTATACCGTCATCTCGTATTGGCTCTGGTGTATCTTCTTCAACGCCACTCTTTGATACCAAAAGCTTTTCAAAATGCTCCTTCCTGATCCTCAACATGCTATCTGTATCTCCCACCAGGTTTCCTTATTCATCTCTACAGGAGGATGTGCCTGCACCGAAGCCTTCGTTTTGGTGTTTTACTCGTTGGTAAAATTTCCGGACTTCATTCTGACTCCTGTACATCTCGATTTGCCCACGCCCACGTTTTTCTTGTTCTTACTTCTATTTTCTGAAAACACGTTTCTCCTTTCTCTTATTTTCTCCCTATAATTCTCCATCACATTACGTGTTGCTACTGTCTTCAGGGTTGCCCTATACGCTGCGTTTTTCGCATCAGTAGCATTACGACACTCCTGATCGTACCATGGATTTCTTGATGGTGGTTTTTGGTACCCAAGTGTTGCTTTTGCTGCAGTTTGTAGGGAGTGGGCAATTCTTTGCCATTGCGTTTCTATACTATTATCGGGACAAGAAGTGCAGGTGAGCGGAGTAGTAGTGAAGCAGGTGAGCGGAGTAGGCCTCGGCTACCTGTTGTGTTTGCAGCTTTTCGACGTCGAGTTTCCGTGTTGTGTTAGATCTTGAAGAAAATATTCTTTAAAAAATCCACCCCTTTAAAAAATCCTAAAAATATGCTATACTTAATTCTTTATGATGTAGCCTAAAAATATGCAACAAAGATAATTTTATTGTATTTTTTTATTTTTCCAGATTGTGTTCGTTTTGGCTACTTTGTTGGCATGTGCCTATGCCAAACCCGGTGGCCCAGCTGCCTATTCCATTTCCGCACCCAGTGTGGATCATGCCTCCGTCGGACAATCACAAGAACACACCGTCAAGGGTCATTACGGCCAGTCATCGCAATCGGACTATTCTAGTCATGTACAAACTGCCCATTCACAATCGCATGTACAACGTTCTAGCATTAGCAATGATGCCGGTTATGCTGCACCAGGTAAGTGGCATCAATGAAGAAAATGGGGGGAACTACAAAAATCCAAACAATAATACCACATATCATAGAGAGAGCACATTTTAACATTTATTCATGCACAGTAAATTTTGAAAAAAAAAAATACAAAAATCTGTCACATCTAGGGATTTATCTGTCCATTAGAACACTAATCTCCCAACAGAATATTGTTCCCACGCACCAGGTACATATCATATCAGATCAAACAAAGCACAATAACATAACCTAAACTCAATTTATGTATTTAATTTGCATCTATTGTAAAAAAATGTATTGTTGTTTTTGTAATTTTTTATTGTTATTATTGCTAACCATTTGTTGTTGTTGAATATCGTTGTTATTGTTGTTTTTGTGTTGAATGTTGGTTATCTAACATTAACTATTAAGGTCATGTAGTTGCTGCCGCCCCCGTAGCTCATGCTATTGCCGCGCCAGCCATCAGTGTGGCCCATTCGGCTCCTGCATATTCACATGGCATTTCATATGCCGCCGCCGCTCCAGCTATTTCCCACGGTATCAGTTATGCTGCAGCTGCACCCATCATCGGACATTCTATTGGTCATGCCTATGCTGCCCCCGCCATCCAACATGGCCTGAGTTATGCTGCTCCAGCTTATGCTGGTCATGGCTATGCCGGTCTTGCTGGTTATGCTAGTCATTATGCCGCTCCTGCCTATGCTGCGTCACATAGTTATGTTGCTGCTGCCCCAGCCATTAAAGTGGCTGCCGCTCCCGCCATTGGTAGGTTCCAGAGCGAAGGTAAACTCTGATGAGTCAGAAATTTGCTTTTTAAATGCTTTTAGATAAAAAAAAAAAAATAGATTTTCTTGGCACCAATTAGAACGTAGAATGCACCTATTTTAGAATTATTTTTATTTTTTTAGACAAAATACTAATTTTATATTTAAAAATATATAAAATTTTAAAAAATATTTTTAAAGGACACCAATTACGATGAATTTTTTAAACACCCAACAGGCGTGGATTTTTTAAGGACTTCCACAATGCGTGGATTTTTTAAAGAATATTTTTTCAAGGGTCATCACACAAGGCGTGGATTTTTTAAAGAATATTTTTTCAAGGGTCATCACACAAGGCGTGGATTTTTTAAAGAATATTTTTTCAAGGGTCATCACACAAGGCGTGGATTTTTTAAAGAATATTTTTTCAAGGGTCATCACACAAGGCGTGGATTTTTTAAAGAATATTTTTTCAAGGGTCATCACACAAGGCGTGGATTTTTTAAAGAATATTTTTTCAAGGGTCATCACACAAGGCGTGGATTTTTTAAAGAATATTTTTTCAAGGGTCATCACACAAGGCGTGGATTTTTTAAAGAATATTTTTTCAAGGGTCATCACACAAGGCGTGGATTTTTTAAAGAATATTTTTTCAAGGGTCATCACACAAGGCGTGGATTTTTTAAAGAATATTTTTTCAAGGGTCATCACACAAGGCGTGGATTTTTTAAAGAATATTTTTTCAAGGGTCATCACACAAGGCGTGGATTTTTTAAAGAATATTTTTTCAAGGGTCATCACACAAGGCGTGGATTTTTTAAAGAATATTTTTTCAAGGGTCATCACACAAGGCGTGGATTTTTTAAAGAATATTTTTTCAAGGGTCATCACACAAGGCGTGGATTTTTTAAAGAATATTTTTTCAAGGGTCATCACACAAGGCGTGGATTTTTTAAAGAATATTTTTTTCAAGAACTTCCACAAGGCATGGATTTTTTTAAAGAATATTTTTTCAAGGACTTCCACAAGGCGTGGATTTTTTTTAAAGAATTTTTTTTCAAGGACTTCCACAAGACGTAGATTGTTTTAAAGAATATTTTTTCAAGGGTCATCACACAAGGCGTGGATTTTTTAAAGAATATTTTTTTCAAGAACTTCCACAAGGCGTGGATTTTTTAAAGAATAATTTTTCAAAGGACTCCAACTGACGTGGATTTTTTAAAGAATATGTTTTCAAGGACTATAAGAGGCGTGGATTTTTTAAAGAATAATTTTTCAAAGGACTCCAACTGACGTGGATTTTTTAAAGAATATGTTTTCAAGGACTATAAGAGGCGTGGATTTTTTAAAGAATAATTTTTCAAAGGACTCCAACTGACGTGAATTTTTTAAAGAATATGTTTTCAAGGACTATAAGAGGCGTGGATTTTTTAAAGGATATGTTTTCAAGGACTATAAGAGGCGTGGATTTTTTAAAGAATATGTTTTCAAGGACTATAAGAGGCGTTAATTTTTTAAAGAATATGTTTTCAAGGACTATAAGAGGCGTGGATTTTTTAAAGAATATGTTTTCAAGGACTATAAGAGGCGTGGATTTTTTAAAGAATATGTTTTCAAGGACTATAAGAGCCGTGGATTGTTTAAAGAATATGTTTTCAAGGCGTGGATTTTTTAAAGAATATGTTTTCAAGGACTATAATAGGCGTTAATTTTTTAAAGAATATGTACTCAAGGTCTATAAGAAGCGTGGATTTTTATACCCTACACAACTATGTTGTCAGGGTATTAATGCTTTGTGCAGCCCCAAAAGTTTGTAACGCCGCGAAATATTGGTCCTAGACCCACCTTTAAGTATACCGATCGTCATATCTCGACTAGCTGAGTCGATCTATACATGTGTGTCCGTCCGTCCGTCCGTCTGTCCATTATAATTTGTAAACACGATACAGGCCACAGTTATGGACCAATCTTCACAAAATTTTGCATGTAGGATGGGTTCTGGCCAATGAAGGCCCCTATTGTTTTTGGCAAATATCAGTTAATATTTAGGGGATGAAATGGACCAAAAACTAAATTTTTGTCGGTTTTTCTGGTCGCTCCAGAGGCCGCAATAATGGTCCGAACATCGTGAAATTTTGCATGGAGAAGGGAATCGGGCCAAAGAATAAGCATGCCTGTTTTGATAAAGATCGGTCAATATTTAGCGGGTCAAATGGACCCTGACTTTTGTGTGAAAAATGACAAAATTTGTATTCTATAGCGTATATATTTACCCATGAAGGACATAAACCCAAGAAGTTGATATTATATCCAAGAGGAGTGGTTGACCTTTAAATTGATACCAATTATATTGTCGTATTTACTCAGATGTGGGAGTTATACGTAAATATTTACAGGTATCTCCGCATATTACTTATTAACCCATTATCACTCTAGAGAGCGGAACTATGGCGCTGATCGCTTTGAAATGTTCCATGAGGTTCCAGTTATGGTCAAGGACAACGCTGATAATTTTCGGTGCTGATCAGATAATAATTTTGGAATGAAGTGGACCGAAAACTTAATTTTTTGTGTTATTTTCGAGTCGATCTATAGACCACAAATGAAAGCCGAACATCACAACACAACCCACGGTGATGGGAACCTAAACAATAGCTGTACTGAATACTCGTAATATTCTGAAAATATGTCAGTGTGAGGAAGAGGTGCTGTTTACCTCTAATCGGGCAAGAGGGTGCAAATATCACGAAATATTGCCCAGGCTCGAAATAAACATCCGCAGAAAATTTGAGTTCCGTGGTAGTTGTGTAAGGGCAACGCCGAACGAAGGAACCAC